GCGCCGAGAGCGTAGGCTGCTGTGGTGCTGGTTGAAGGGGTGCCGGCTGTATGGGTGCAAACTGAGGCGGAGGCTGAGAAATGGGTGGCCGAGTTGAGACTGGCGGTTCACTTGACGCGATTCCCTGGCTCGAAGTGGCTTGAAGAGCCGCCTGGGCTCTCTCCAGTTCGGCCCTGGTAGATAACACTATTTCAAACCGGGCCCGGTTCTGCGAGTACGCTTGGCGGTTCTTCGGGGTGTTGGTTGGAGTATGTCTCTCAGCTCTATGCTCGACTTTCGGTGGGGGAACCGGTGACTCTTGTTTGATGGGGACGGGCGTAGTCCGCTCGACCTTCGGTTGCTGAACATTTGTAGTAGAGGTCATGCCGGGGGTATCTGGCGTTGGATACCTGAACGGTATTGACGTTTGCTCGTAAACCATCTTTGAGAATGGAGATAGTGTAAAAGCCAACGAGGCTATTGGGGCAACAGCAGAAGAAGTACCGCTGCTTGGTGCTTTCGGCCCGATCTTGAATTTGCTGTGAGGTGGTCAGTCCTGACTCTTCCTCACTTCCTCGTCAAAACGTACAACTCTGTGATATTCGCCCTCTCTATCAAGTGCTGGACTTGACTGAGTGTGTGCTGAACGCGTTTGCTTGGACCTGTGTTGTGAAGTTCTTGATTGAGGCCATCGAAGTCCTGAGTGCTGAGGAGGTCGATCAAGCTAGGGGCGGGCGACGCAGCTCCGATCGAGGGTGTCGGCAAGATACCTAGAGGTGAAGACATGAATGGTTAGAACTAGAGTGACGATATCGGAACAAAGAGGAGAGGAGATGGGCATGACGATATACGGGGGAGGAGCAAACATGGAGTGTCTCAGAGTTGGGATGGTTTGATCTTACTTGGGTCAAAAGGCACGATCGAGGTGAAAGGTGTATAGGGCAGAGCTTCGTAGAGGGCAAAAGGTCTCGTGAATGCACCAGCTTGTTGCGTCGATGAGGACGCCGGCGCGCCTTGGGAGCCATGGTAGTCTTGGGCGTTGGGATCCATGCTGTGGTGGTGTGGATGCTGGTATGCCATTGTTGCTTGATCACTTTGACAGCAGCATTAGCGCATGGTGATTTGGATGGTCGAGTGTATTCGGCGCAAGTGTCGTCCCAGCCGGAGGGCACCGGCGGCAGCAGCAGCAGCAGCAGCAGCGGCGGCGGCGGCGGCGGTAGTAGTAGACGCAGCAGCACGTCAGGACTCGGAGCCCAAAGTTCAGACGAAAGCCGGAGGTGTTGTTGCCATGCGAACCGACTGCTTTCGGCGAAATCGTGTAGTCGCGGAGGAGGGGCCTTTGTCCCGGGTCAGTGTGTTGGCCTGGGCGCGTCGGACTTGGAGAAGGAAGACGAGATGGATGATGGTGGTTGAGGAAAAGAGGAAATCAAGCTGCAGGCACAGATAGTATGTCCATGTCGTCGCTTCGATGTGTTCGGACCAACAACCTAACTAACAGAACCTGAGAGTGACTGATCAACAGACAGACAGAAATAGGCAGGTAGGATCGGGCACGATTAAAGATAGAGAGGTAGAGAGAGGTAGGTACGTGTGATCGATGTTGAGGTTCAAGGAAGGTGAAGTTCAGGTACTGTACCCAAACTGGAACTCAAGGGAAGGAATGAAGTCCAATGGATCCAAATGTTTCCCCAGATTTGATCCGCAGGCAGGCACAACGCACGACACCAACACGGAAAACAGCCCTGTGAGCTTGGTTGGCACGGCGCGCGGTCACGCTAATTCGAGTCCCCGAACCCCGGCCGGTACACAGGTAGGTAGCGTAGCTAGCACCTGCCATGCCGTGCCGTGGCCGTCCCGTACTTGCCCAGCTACACTAACCCCAGGCGTGTTGGCGCGCTCGCTCGTGCTTGCCACGTCTGTCTGGCTTGCAATTTACGAATTTAACCCAACTCAGCGCCAGAAACACGCGGCCTGCGCTGGGTATGGGGCCTGGCAGATTCCCCTTGATCAGCGTGGATGGATGGTTCCCTTGTTGCGGTTGTGCCTTCCGCCGTCACTCGTCATCGCCCATGCTAAAATAGGTACCTGTAGCCTGCCCCGGCTTTCATTGTTCGCTGCCAAGCAAGTTAGGTTGCCTGCCAGGAAGCAAACCAGGAGGGTCCCCCAGTGGAATTTTCCATTGCGCGCCCAATCAATTGCCATGGTTTGCCGTGCCATTGATCGTCTCCATGCAGGCCCGTTGTAAATCTTGAAGTCCGGTCCCTTCCAAGAGAATTGTTTACTGCGAGAAACAACAGAAAACTTATCCAAACCGACGACATCGAACCACACCCGACAAAACCAAAAATAAACGACAATGGCAGCCATCGGATCCCTCATCTTCTGCACAGACTGCGGCAACCTCTTGCCCGTCTCCAAGGGCAGCGAAAAGAACATTCTTCACTGCGAATGCTGCGGTGCCGAAAACAGAGGTGCGCATTCACTTTACCCAGTCATTGTCCTTTAGAAGACAGTATTCAAGAAGCTTCATTTCATCCGAGAATTACAAATCAAACGAACTGACCATTTTTTTGTCCCATTCTAGATCGTCCCTCCAGAACCGTCGTGACCAAGTCCAAGCCGTCCGATTTCCCCTCGCTTTTGCGCCAGAAGCTGGATATCGTCCAGACCGTCGTAAGGCACGAGCTCAATACGGAGAGAATCGACTCCAACACGGAATGCCCCAAGTGCGGCAAGCGCGGTATCCGTTACTCGGAAGTTCAGCAGAGAAGTGCCGACGAAGGCTCAACAATTCTTTACAACTGCGACTGCGGAGAGAGGTATGATGCGACACCGCCGGACGGCTATCATTGCTGTGGTTGCTTTGTGTGCTAACCCGAGGTACAACACAGATGGTCGGTCAACAACTGAGTGCAAAGATTGCCTGCTGCAATCGGATTTACGAAATCGGGAATGCTGTTGGGGTCGCATTGGTTTGGATCAAACGACATATAATGAAACAGCTACTAGCACCAGCATTGGCAAGCCGAGCCTTAGTAACGACGGCTTTGCCTTGTTACAACTACTACAACTACAACAACGATACCCCTTTTTTTGTCAGGACCGAAAATCAGTCGCATTGGTATAATCCTGAGAGAGAGAGAGAGAGAGAGACGCATAAACTGTTTGAAATACCCTTCCATCCATCCATGATTCGCCCCAGAAAAGAAAAGAGACAAGCAATCAACGAAACAACAACATCAGAAACTCCAGTCCCATCTTTTACGACGCCTTGCTAGCAACCTCGGGTATCAACGCGTACTCAGCCTGGCCGCTCTGCTCAAACTCGGCCATATCCAGCGCAACAATAACACTCTCGCGAACGACCTTCTCCTTGTCGTGGAGGAACTTGAGCAGCGTCTCCTCGACCCCTTCCTCATCACCAAGACTGCCCAGAGCCTCGGCCGCCTCGTGGCGGACCATGCTGACCTCGTCGAGGTTGCTGAGGGCCTCGGTCAGGGCCGGGATGGAAGCCGGGTGCGAAAGCTGTCCAAACACAAAGGCGATCTCGTGGCGGAACAAGGCGGACTCGTCCTTGAGACCCTTGGCCAGGGCCAGGATGGCGGGAACGGCAGTCGGCAGGTCGGGAGGAGAGGCCAGGTCGCGGAGGGCGAACATGGCGCGGTATCTCTTGAAGAGGGGGAGCGAAGTGTCTAGGAGTTTCTTCTCGAGCGTCTCGACCGTTTGCTTCTCGTCGTCTTCGGGCATGGGAGGGGCGGGATCAACCGAGGCAAAGTCACTAGAAAAAGGTAGTTTTCTGCGGTTAGCATACCAAATGGAAAGAATGCCAGAACAGAACAGAAATATGATGGATCAATGTGAATGTACCTCTGGCGCAACTTCTCCTGCTTCCTCTCCTCTGAATTCTCCCACTCTATCCTATCAATAGCAATCTCGCATGTCTCCTTGACAGAAACGTCCTCGCCCTCGCGATGGAGATACTTCTGAAGCACGCCCAAGCTCTCGGCCTTGCCCAGCGCGCCCAGCGCCTCGGCCGCCTCGTGTCTGCACATGGGATCCTCCTGCAGGTCCTCGAGCACCTGCGTCAGGTGAGGGATGGCGGCATCGCTGCCCGTCTGGCCGAGGCAGTAGGCCAGCTCGTGCTTGAGCAGGGCCGAGGGCGAGGCAAAGGCGGCGGCGATGGCGTCAATGGCGGAAAGCGAGTCGGCGGTGCCCTTGGTTTGGACGGCAAGGTGCTTGAGTGAGAAGAGGGCGCGGAAGCGGATGGGCAGTGGAGTCGTCTCGGAGCAGAGACTCTCGCGCAGGCTGGCGATGGTGGCTGACATTGTGTATGTGTGTGTGTGTTGTCAAACTTGTTGCTGGGAAAATTGGTTTTTCTTTTGGAATTGCCCAATAAACGAACCAAAAAGACTGAGCAGGGGACGTGGATTAAGAGGGTGGAATATGTATGGATTTGAATCAGAAAACAGGACGGGGAGCACTTTGGAGGAGGACGACGGCGGCGATGGACTCGTGTGTAAAAGATCTGATAAGAAAACAGCGATCTGAGACTGGACGGAATCACCTGCTGCGAGGGGCAACGCCGGGCAGGGCGCCTCACTAGGTAGGTACACTACGAATTGCCATGCGCCCAGGCCCCAGGGCTCCAGGGACTTTGGCGGCGGGGTGCTAAAATTTTTAGAGGGGCATTTGCTAGGCGCGATAACGATAAGAGCCTTTTTTTGGTGGAACCTGGAACCTCTTGGCCAGCAGGGTTCCATCGCAGCCAGGGGCACAGTCACACACATTGTGGTTTTGCTTGGCAAGGGTGCCTGTACATATCTCGGATGGGCAAAAGCTTCTGGAAGGTCACTCGTCACTCGAGGGATGGGTATAGAATAACATTAGGAGTGACTTTCAACCGGCAAATGGCAAACTTCAAGCAGCATCCAGCTGGCGCGGGAGATAGGTTGCGGTTGGTCTCCATCAAGATTCTTTTGCATGGGTATCGTTGGGCTATGTTGAAGTGTTTTGAGGACTGATTAGCACTCTGCATCCAAGAGCGCAAATGGGTTGTTAGAGCGCGGCCTTGCCTCAGGTTCTTGCGAGTTCTTCCGCTTGTTCGACTTTGGTTGCTTCTTAGGTTGCATGATGGCCTCCAGCTGCGGTACCATATCATCCTGGTCGGCGCATATCTTGGTCAAGCAGGACAGTCCCTCGTTGTCGATGATCAGTCGGAGCATCTCTGGGAAGTTGAAGATGGTGGGGAAATTCGGGAGAGAAGGAAGCCTGGTCAAACAATCTTGCAATTCCTTCAAAGCGGGCGATAGTCCCTTGCCCTGAGAAGCTGCATGCTGCATGATTTGTTGCAGCATCCTGAGCGAGTAGTAGGTCGCTTGGCACTGCGCGAGGAAGTGTACAGATTCCCAAGACGAGGTGTCGAGCTTCTCTTCAACTGCTTGCTGGAGTACCTTTAAACTGAGTGGCTGGACCTTCCCTTGGCTGGTGGTCATGACAATGTCTTGGTAGACCGATAGTGTCATCCAAACTGCCTTGGGCTTTTTCACGGCTTTGATGATCGATGACAAAACATCCTCAAGAACAGCTGCGTCCATCTCGACCTCCGAGATAGGCGGCACCTTGACAGGTGTCCCTGCTGACGGCTGATCAAGCCTCCTGAATTCGGCAACCGTCGGTATTGGTGATCCAGTGACTGTCTGTAGGATAGCGTATGCCAGCTGCCTGATGTCTTTGCTCGATTCCCACGCACTAGTTCGAGTTGGAGAGTCCAAGAGGAAAGGAAGGTACATGGCCGGTTTCTCGTCCCGACACCGAAGAACGATTTCTGATATCCGGGGGTCCAACGTGACGGATGCTTCGACCGGGATCTGAGACGCCGTTTCAGGGGAGAGATATTGCTCAGTAAACTCCTTGTGCGCGCCGGGATACGCGACGACCGAGTGCTTGCTCTTGGCTTTCGAGACTGCTTGCTCAAGCGTGATGTGTGGGTCCATCACGAGCTCGAATGCCAGACACGAAAGGCCATCCTCAGGCTGAAGAGAGAGACGTTCACAAATGTCGGCACTCTTGAATTGCAAGCCCGTGATCTCTGTGCCGGCCGGATTGCATTCTATATCCGAGAAGAAGACAACGCTACCGTTGGGGCCCAAATTGTGTACGAGCAGGTCCGAATCAGATGTCAGAACTGTCCCGCCATGTTCCCGGACATACTGGGCGCAGAACACGTCGGCCTCTCCGGGCACCACTGTTGTTTGCGAGGCGTAATGCTCAGACTGTCTCAGAGTATCGATGATGGACGGAACGAAGAAGGCCGGTGGAGGTGGGCTCACTCCGTTTTGACTCGGTTGAGCCTCGGGAAACAGGCCGACTTTCCTGTTGGAATTCCAGCCGGGGCGGCCCTGCGCGAGTCCGTTTACGTGTTTTCTATGAAAGCCCTGCAATTCCTTGGAGGTTTTCATGAGCCTCTTGGTCCGCTCATGCGTCTTGGACGTGGGAAGATAGCCATCGAAAAATATCCTCGAACTTTGGGCGAACATTAGTATGCTACTGGGAGAGTTTGGGCCGAGGAGTACGAATTACATGGTGAGGCCGCACGATCTGACCCGGTCAAGCCATTCAAGGGTAATCCGACTTAGCAGCTCATAGGTTGGTTGCTCAAAGGGGCTGTTCTTGATAGTTTTTATTCGGCACAGGTTCAAGATGTGATATGCAAGTGCAGGCCCGTCAATGACCAGACTGCTTGGTTGGATTGCGCCTCGCTGCGCATAAGGCTCCAGGTGTTTCCTGAGGTGTGGAATGCCCATATTCGTCTGGTGATTTAGAGAAGCTCGTTCGCCGCTTGGTTTTTTGTGTGCGCGATCCCGGGGTGTGATGGGTTCAGGTTCCTCTTGGAATGGCCGTGAGCTCTCCGTTAGGAGGCGTTGCTGGGTGGAAATTTGACCCGTGAAGGGGATGGGGGTTTGAGATGTCAAGGATCTCTTGCCAAATAATTGTCTGAGGTGAGGTAGTTGAAACGTCCAAACATCAGAATCGCAGCTGGTTTCATTGAAGCGTTGGTGTGTAGTGTTTTGAGGTGAAGTTAGCATACAGTGCGAATGGGAGTTCGGCATTCTCTTTGTTGATTGTGGGATTCCATGGTGTTGGCATTCTTTCTCGACAACGTATCGATTTAGTTGTGTTTGTTGTTTTAATCTGGCGGTCACGTCACTTCCCGTAGAGTTTCTGTTATCCACAAACGAAGTGGTGCTGAGAGTCCGATGGCAATGACGGTGCTCCTATACCTTCCATAATGCTGCCTTCAAGCTGGCCGTTAAGAGTGCAAGGAGCAATGGAACGCGGTAGGCATCGTTGCCGCCTGGATTCCACTGCCTTTTCACAGCCATGCGGGTTCCCAAGAGAACACGCTTCAGATAAGACTTTATCTGGCCATTGAAGATTTCCCATTGTAATCATGCTTTTCCGAAATGTTATGTTCGCAGTGGTTGTTGTATGATTTCAGATGACTCGGGAGATATAGACCTAATAGAACGAATAGTACCTCTATGTCTGCACACTGTATGCTTATCTTAGGTTATCAAGACTGTCAGGGCCGCACTGACTGCAAGCTGCGACAATTGTACGGGAAAATGGCAAAAAAAAACGGCAGACGACATCGGCCTGGGGCTGGGAGGGAGATCCAGATCCTTCCCTTCCCTCCTTTCAGCCATTGGACCCACCTTTACCTGAATCGCTGCGGGGCACGAGGACAGGATTGAAAAAAAAACCAAAAACTAAAAAAGAAACTGGATTTCCTCCCTTCAAATCCCGCTCCCGAACTTTTCTTCCCCCGAATTCGCCAACACTCTTTTTCTCTTTCTTTTTTTTCCTTTTCACAATGCGCGGCACCCTCATCTTTTCGGGCAGCTCGTGCCCGGCCCTCACCGGCAAAGTATGCGAGAACCTGGGCATGACGCCAGCCGATGCTGAGCTCACCCAGTTTTCCAATGGAGAGACGAGCGTGCGCATCCTCACTAGCGTCCGCGAGAAGGATGTCTTTGTCGTTCAGTCGGGTAGCCCCAAGATCAACGACACCATCATGGAGCTGCTCATCATGATCTCTGCATGCAAGGGAGGCTCTGCCAGCAAGATCACTGGTATGTCTGCCGCTCAACAGCAATCCATCCAGTGTGAAGGCTGACCAGGCCCCCCTTCTAGCCGTCCTGCCATACTTCCCCTACAGTCGCCAGTCTAAGAAGAAGTCGCACCGCGGTGCCATCACTGCGAGAATGCTTGCCAATCTTCTCGGCGTTGCTGGTGTTAAGCACATCATCACGGTCGATTTGCACGCTTCTCAGATGCAGGGCTTCTTCAAGTGCCCCGTCGACAACCTCCACGCCGAGCCTCTCATTGCCCGCTGGATCAGGCAAAACGTCCCCGATTGGAAAGAGGCTGTCGTCGTGTCCAAGAACGCCGGTGGCACCAAGCGCGTCACGTCGCTTGCCGACGCTCTCAAGCTGAACTTTGGCATGGTCACCACCGACAAGAAGAGAGGCAATGGCAACATGACTGGTAGCATGCTTCTCAACCCCATTGATGCTGTCTTGGACCCCATCGGCGAGCAGGTCAACGAGGCAGTTGAGCATGAGGAGCCCTCAGTCAGCAACATCACCCAGCCTATTGCAGGCACTACAAGCCTCGCGCGCCGTCCCAATGGATCGTCTATGCACAGCGCCAAGTCTTTGCCGTCTCGCCTGCGTTCTTCGACCTCGGCTTTGGACGGTGTTGACGAGGAAGGCGAGGACGGCGTCGAGTACAATGACCAGCGTGCTCATGAGGTTACACAGGCTCGTCTTGTCCAAGGCCACATCGTTCCGGATGACTTTGAGTCGCCGGCCGTCTCTGCAGCCACCAGTGTCGCTGGAGATGACCCGATGACCATGTCGCACGCTTCGTCGTTTTTCGCTCCTCAGCACCACGCCGCCCTCGGTGGCTCGGGTGATGCAGCTGAAAGTTCGGATGAGGAAGAGGAGATCCTGAAGGACCCCAAGGTGGAGCACATGGTCACCCTTGTCGGAGACGTCAAGAACCGCACCGTCTTTATTGTTGACGACATGATCGACAAGCCTGGTTCTTGGATCGCTGCTGCCGAGACGGTGGTCAAGCGCGGTCTGGCCAAGAAGGTCTACTGCATTGCCACCCATGCCGTCTTTGGTGCTGACTGCCTGGAGCAGTTGCAGGATTGTGACTGCATTGATCACATCCTCGTGACAAACAGCTACCCCATTCCGGAGGAAAAGGCTCGCAACGCCAGCAAACTGACCGTGCTTGACTTGTCGTATCTCCTTGCGGAAGCAATTCGTCGGAACCACTATGGCGAGTCGATCTCGCCTTTGTTCCAGCACATAATGGAGTAATATCGCATGGTTATGTTTTTCTTTGGTTTTTTTATGACGCATCACAGAGGCTTCATAGGGCATTGAGTTGCACCTTGTTTACGAAAGCACATTATCATCAGGTATGTTGGGAGACTCGGATTACAAGCGTGGCGTTAGAGTGATTTCAGGTATCGCAAGACCACTTGTCGTCTTGACATTTCGGAGCGGGAAAAAGCGTCTTTGGAGACCTTTTGGAACGAGCAGTCAGATACCCCAATTGACATCATATGCTCGGTTGTTGTGTGGTTCGCCGCGCAGCTTGTTCTTTCCCTCTCCCTCTTTTCTGTTCGTTTGCTTACCACTATTCTACCTCCTCGCCTTGCTTGACGTCAGTCAGCAGAAACGAATCATCATTTCATCCTTCCTTCCCTTGCCCTCAAAAACACAAAATCCAGCGATGCTTTCACTCGAGAAAGCCGGAGTCGATTTCCATCCCAGGAACGGTTCTGAACGGAGCGTTGGTAGAAAGAATTTCCATTATAGAAGGCTCGTTGTTCCGACTCGTTTTACGAGTTGACTTCCGCAAGGTTGGTGGGCAATGATGCAAGAGAACCCTTGGGAACATTTTCATGTAAACGTACTTGTTTCAGCAAGTGTAGTAAGAGTGATATTACGCTCAGTTGGTCCGCGTAAAAGCTTTCGTGGGCGGTTATTTGACCACGAAGCCTGGCGGACTGTGCTGATGTTTCACACATCGTAGGACACATGTCGTCTGAAGACTCAGTCAGTATCGAGCATTCAGTATAGCATAAAGAAATACAAAACATCTCAACTCATCGTTCATATTCATCCAAGCTTCCACAGTCACTTCTCGCACATTGTTTGAACCGAAGCAAAGCGAGCTACACCAAAAAGGGAAGAGCATCCTACTTCCAAGAGCGAGTTAGGAGCAGATTCGGAGGTGGTAAGAGAAACGCTTTATAGGGGTCTTAGATGGAATTTATAAACCGTAGCCATCAACGAAGTACCGAGAGGAAGTCATGAACTGCATTCAACGGAATTACTTTGAATGTCTTCCATTGAATGATATTAGGTTTTGACTTGTTACCTATTCTCCTCCATCTTCTACCGCTCTTCGAGAGAGAAGGAGGGAGGGAGATCTATCTGGTCCTTCCATCTCACCTGGAATTCTAATCCTCCGTCGTCCCTGAAGCCCAACTTAAAGAGAGATCAATCAGATCGCGGCTGATCTCATTCCTCCCCGTGCTTGCTTGCTTGACCGACTGGAAAGTTCGTCCCTTCTTGTGATGACGACACTCTTTCCTTTTGTGTGATTCACTAGGTAGGTACTCTATAGGGAAAAACAACAAAAAAACAATATCGTTGTCAATCGATGCGAGTTTCACATCAAGATATGATCTAGTGTAACAGTAGGTAGGCTTGTAACCGTTCTTTTGTTTCGTTTTGATAGGTAATCTTGTTCTTCACATCCCTTCCTTCCTTCCTTCCTTCCTTCGACATTACTCTTTCAACATCTACGTCTATATATCTTTTCTCTTTTCTTCTTCCCCATCATGCATTACATACTCTCTTCTTCCCCTCTCTTTGATCCAACCCCCCCTTTTGGTGTAAACCCCAAAGTAATCAAATCCACCCCTCCTTCCCACTAGCCCGCTGAAACAACCTCCTCAAACTCCCACTACTCCTACTCCTCCGACTTTCCTTCCCGTTGCCATTCCCATTCCCATTTCCACTGTTTCCACTGTTTCCCTTCCGCGTAGGCATCGTCCTACTCATCATACTCGCATACTGCCCCACAACTGGGCTCGCCGCCGCTTGTCCCTGCGCCTTTGTATCCAGTCTCCGTGCCTCAGCAGGCCCAGCAGGCCCAGCACTAATCTTTACCACCACCGGCGACGACGGCGCGGTAGGCACTTTATTATTTGATCCAACTTCGACTTGTCCACCACCGCGAGATACAGGCTTAGAGCCAGGTGGCGCCGGCGCCGGTCTAGGCGGTAATGTCGACACGGGTTCATACGAGTATGATGACCCCATAGGATTGAGATTCAGAGAAATGGGAATAGGAGGCGAAGGCGACGGTCTCGGCGGCGGAAGAACTACCTCCTCGTCCATCTCTGTAGTATCTCCTCCGTCCTTAGGACTGGTTGAGTGGCTGTGGCTGTGGCCGAGATGAAGACTTAGACAAGACCAAGAGGAGGGGGAACGTAAAGTGGTGAGGGAACTTCGTTTGCTTCCGGTGCCTGTGTTGCTGCTGCTGTGTCTGTTTCCCCTGTTTCGTACAAGGGAAGCGGTGGAAATGGTGGGGATGGTGGGAATGATGGTGGGAAGGGTAGAGTTCTTCTTGGGAGGTTTAAGAGGTTTGAGAGTGAGGCCGGTGGGAATGGTGGTGGGTGTGGGAGCGTTGGAGGGGCTGGTGTCGAGGGAGAAACTGCTTGTTAGGGGGACGGTGGTGGAGGTTATTATTCCCATGTCTGGGTTGGCGCTTGCGGTGGAGGCGCGTCTGGGTCCTGGTTCTGTCTCGTTGATTTGGTGGTGCTGTTGTGGTTGTTGTTGTGGTTGTGGTTGCGGCTGTTGTGGCTGTTGCTGCTGGTGATGCTGCTGCTGTTGTGATTGTGGTTGGGGTTGTTGCGGCTGCGGCTGCTCTACCATTCGCCTCTCACCGACAGCTCCAGCTGTCTCAGTCTCGGTCTCATCAGGAAACGTCGACCTCGTAGGGGTAACCATGATAATCGGTATCTCGGACTTTCTCGCTTGCCCTCTTAAGGCTGGATGGATTTCTCCCTCGCTCACTACTCGTCTGGCTGCCCCTTCTTTGATGATCGGTCCTGTGTTCCTCATAGACATAGCCGTTGGTGGTGGTGGTGGTGCTTGTCCGGCTGTTGGCGTTGTCCCTCTCGTGCTTGTGGCCATTGTCGTCGTTGAAGTGGGAGTTGGAGTTGGAGCTGTTGAAGAAGCCCGCAAGTCATTCCTCTCAAAGAGTTCCTGCTGGAGTGTATACTGCGCATGATGTTGACGTTGTTCTTTGGTCGGTTTTGGTCTACGTATCTTCTTTCCGTGTCTCGGCCGGCTGTGATTACGGTGGCGGGTTCGAGTTCGAGAGTGACTCCGGCTTTGGCTTCGTGATTTGGATTGTCCGCCGCGAGATGAAGTCCTGGATCCAGATCCAGAGTAAGAGAGGGGAGATCGTCGGCCTTCGGATGGTGGATACGCGGCGAGGGAGGGATGCTTTGAGGCGCCCAGTAAGTCTTCGGTGGTGTCGTAGCGGTAGGAGGTCCCGTAGTTAGAGGTAATCTCAGAGGAAGAGAGTTCCTCCGAGTCGTCGTACTCGTACTCGTCCTCGTCTTCATCTTCATCTTCATCTTCATCGTCGGAGTCACTCGGATTCGAATAGTTGCGCTCTTCATCCCCGTTGACAACCACGTACCACTTGATCTCTTCTCCACGCTGGAGTTCATCGCGGAGTTGCTCAATCCATGTCTCATCCTTCTCCTTTGCGCTTTCTTCAAGGTGCTCGAGAGCATCATGATACTCCCCACTTCCTCCACTCCCGCCGCTATTACGATTAGCCTTGGGATTCCGTTCCCCTGCTTTCTCCTCCGCCCCCTTCAGCTTCAGCCTCAGCCTTTGCATCCGCTCTTCGTACCGCCTTACTTCCGCCAGGATATCCGCCGCTCCATCCACGCGCACAACGTGATCAGCTACGTAAGCATAAGGCCGCGAGACTTCGTCGAGGTTGTTTGGGTCGTACTCCTCGAGAACTTTGACTGCTGACCAGCGTTGGGCGCTCAGTTCGTCTTTTTTGCGGTTGGGGCTGTGAGATGCGCTCCTTCTGCTGCTGCTTCTGCTGCTGCTGCTGTTTCCCGTTGTCTTTCCCTTTCGTCCTTTTCCTGCTGAAGAAACTCCCAAGGCGCTGGTAGTTCTCGACGCTGGGGTTGACGCAGGGGCAGATGTGGTGGTAGTGGCAGTAGTAGGAGCAGTAGGAGTAGTAGGAGCAGTTGCGGCGGAGGCGGCGGTAGCTTGCAGGCGCGTCCTGGACGGGGTTCGTGCGCCTTGCAATGGAAGTCGCAGACTTGGACTGCGGCTGATGGTACGGGTACGACTTATCGACGACCTGTTGTTACTGCCCACAGGGATGGCGGTGATCTCTCTCTTTTCCTTTCCCATTCCCTTTCCCATCTCCTTTCCCATAGTCCCCATCCCCTTTCCAGTAGTCCCTTCGGACCCATGACCCCTAAGCACACCAAGACTCTCCTTTCGCTTCGGCCACTGAGTCCTCTGCTCATTCCCCCTCTCTCCACGATTATCCGGTACTACTGCTCCTTGCCCATCATTGTCTTCCCCATTTTCTTGACCAGACTCATCACCCTCATCCTCATCTTCGTCCTCGTCCTCATTACTATCCCAAGTCTCAGGTTCATGCGGCGAGCAATAAGGCAAAAACTCAAACAAGTTGTAGAAACTCTGCAGGAGACAGCGCGAGCTGGTGGGCCGAATCAGCCACTCGGGCGAGACGTCGTCGAGGTCTTGTACGACGGTGTATACGCGGATGGAGCGGCGCTGCCAGCGGAAGCCGTGGCAGAGGTAGGTTGGCATTTGATTGGCGGTTGCTTGCTTTTGAAAGGGTGTGCTGTTGGTTTCGTTGCTGTTATTGTTGTGGTTGTGGTTGTTGTTAAATTGCCGATTGGTGGTGGTGAAAAGGAGTGTGGGTGAGGCGTCAGGTGCGAACGAACGAAGGTTGGGCGTGGCGGGTGAGATGAGGAATGCGAGGAACCGTGATCGATTGCGGATAAGTAGCTGTGGTAGGTAGGTTTTCTGTTAAGCCAGCCAGATGGATGGATGCTGTGAAATGAATGGATGGGTGTACAGTATGGTAAGGAGTGTGTGTGTGTACGTTCGGCGATTGTGCCCGCGGATTTGATGGCGTGATAACGAGTGGGGGGGAAGGGGGGGGGGGGGGGGGGG